CACTGGGTGTTATGCACAAACAATGAATCATGGAACACTACATCAAAAACTAATGATGTAATGTATGGTGATTAACATAACAATAAAAAATTATTAAAAAAAAATACCTTCAACTTTTTTCACAGAGCTGGAACAAATAAAATTTGGATGGAACCAGAAAAGACCCTGAATAGCCAAAGGAATGCTGAAAAAGAAAAGCAAAGCTGGTGGCATCACAATTCTGGACTTCAAGCTCGATTACAAAGCTGTAATCATCAAGACAGTATGGTACTGGCACAAAAACAGACACATAGATCAATGGAACAGAACAGAGAAGCCAGAAATCAACCCTCAACTCTACGGTCAACTAATCTTCGACAAAGCAGGAAAGAATGTCCAACGGAAAAAAGACAGTTTCTTCAACAAATGGTGTTCAGAAAATTGGACAGCCACATGCAGAAGAGTGAAACTGGACCATTTCCTTACACCTTACACAAAAATAGACTCAAAATGGAGGAAAGACTTAAATATGAGACAGGAATCCATCAACATCCTAGAGGAGAAGAGAGACAGCAACCTCTGTGGCTTCTGCCACAGTAGCTTCTTGCTAGACACGTCTCCAACGGCAAGGGAAGCAAGGGCAGAAATGAACTACTGGAACTTCATCAAGATAAAAAGCTTTTACACAGCAAAGGAAACAGTTGATAAAATCAAAGGACAGTCAACAGAATGGGAGAAGATATTTGCAAATAACATATCAGATAAAGGGCTAGTATCCAAAATCTATAAAGAACTTACCAAACTCAACAGAAATGGGCAGAAGACATGAACAGACATTTCTCCAAAAACGTACAAATGGCCAACAGACACATGATAAAGTGCTCAACATCACTCAGCATCAGGGAAATACAAATCAAAACCACAATGAGATACAACCTCATTGTCAGAGTCATTAGTCAGAATGATAATTGTCATTAGTCAGAATGGCTAAAATTCACAAGGCAGGAAACAACAGATGTTGGTTGAGGATGCAGAGAAAGAGGAACCCTCCTACACTGTTGGTGGGAATGCAACCTGGTGCAGCCACTCTGGAAAACAGTATGGAGTTTCCTCAAAAAGTTGAAAATAGAGCTACCCTACAATCCAGCAATTGCACTACTGGGTATTTACCCCAAAGATACAAATGTAGTGATCTGAAGGGGCATGTGCACCCCAATGTTTATAGCAGCAATGTCCACAATAGCCAAACTATGGAAAGAGCCAAGATGTCCACTGACAGATGAATAAAGATGTGGTATATATATACTACGGGCTACTACTAGGCCATTAAAAAAAAAATGAAATCTTGCCATTTGCAACGATATGGATGGAACTAGAGGGTATTGTGCTAAGTGAAATAAATCAATCAGAGAAAGATAATTATCATATGATCTGATTCATATGTGGAACATAAACAAAACAGAGGATCATAGGGGAATAAGGGAAAAATAAAACAAGATGAAATCAGAGAGGGAGACAAACCATAAGACTCCTAATTATAGGAAACAACCTGAGAGTTGCTGGAGGGGAGGCGGTGGGAGGATGGAGTAACTGGGTGATGGACATTAAGGAGGGCAAGTGATGTAATGAGCACATATCTTATATGAGTATTATATAAGACTGATGAATCACTGACCTCTACCATTGAAACTAATAATACATTACATGTTAATTAATTTAAATAAAAAATGAATTAGCGAGCCTATTACTTCAAAGAAAACAATGGCAAATCATAACACTGTACTTTTGCAGCATATTATAACACTGGAGCTTTCAACCAGAAATTATAATTTTGGAAAACCTGTATCCAACACTGTAAGTTTGACAGATTCCCCCTACTTAAAAGTTTTTTCTAATGAGATTGGTGGTGATATAAACATGTGTTTTTGATATTGTCTAAAATCTGAAGATCTAGAATTTCTGATTGGAATTCTAGTATTCCAAATGACCATGGTGTAAGGTTACAAAATCATGCCTGGGTAAAATATCCATTCAGAGCACAAAATAGATCAATGGATTTTAATGTAAGAGATTATGAAAAAATATGGTTTCAAATTCCACATGGCAACTAAACCTACAGAAAACTACCATTGTAATATCTGGTATAGAATTAAATATATATGCATAATTATTTGAAAAGTCTATTACTATAGCTCTCCACCAACTACACTTCTGTATGAGGCTAAATTTCCTTACATATTTCAACCAAAACCACATACTACAACAGATTGAATGCAGAAGTAGACATGAGAATCCCGCCATCACTGAAGAGATTTACAAAAATGTAAAAACAATGTCACATTTCTCACCAAAATTATTTTGCTTCAGAAAATATAGTTAACTTTCTTAACAGGTTTAACTTGAGAACATGTAAGGGTTTATTATTGTTATTTTTAATAAATATTTTTTAAAGTTCTTGGTTTTAATTTTAACCACGAAATATAGATAAACATAACTTATGCAAACAAAAGCTGTTTGGGGTCCTCAATAATTTTTAAAAATGTAAAAGTTGCTGAGGTCACTCAGAGAATTGCCATTCAAGCCCAATTTACTTGTTTTTGCAACTGAGGAAACTGAGGCTCACAGAAGCTAAGTGACTGCCCTGCCCAAGGTCACAGAGCTTCCTATAAACAAGGGATAATTAAAAATAAAAGACAGGACCAGAAGGACAGTCTCCTTAGTTTTAGCCCATTGCCTTTACTACTATATCACAGGCTCGCTGAATTCTTTTAAAAACCTGTTAGTAAATTCACTAGACAACATAACTTTTTAAATATGACTATGGATCAGAAAACCTTTTAACATTTTTTTAAAGATTTTATTTATTTGCGAGAGAGTGAACGGGTAAGGGAGGGAGAGAGAAGGAGAGAATCTGAAGCAGACTCGGCGCTGAGTGCAGAGTCTGAAGTGGGGCTCAATCTCATGACCACGAGATCATGACCTGAGCAGAAACCAAGAGTTGGATGCTTAAACAAATGAAGCACCCAGGCACCCCAAACCTTTTATCTTTAAAATAGAGAATACTGTAAATTACAGGTGAACATTTTACATGGGGAATTTGAGATATTATTTAGAGAGGGAATTTGAGCCTATTATGTATTCAGCACTATACCAGATCATGTGGAGAATAAAAATAGGTAAAATATATGGTCCATGTCCTTAAAGAGCTTTGAATTTGACTGGGGATCATGGGCAGAGACTCATGAATATAACACAAAACAACACTCTGAACTATGTATCAGGCAAACTGTGGTAACAGTGCTACAATTCAGAGAAAGGGGAGAAACAATAAGAGCTAGTGAAGACTTAAAGATTATGAGGAGATGCTCCTTGAAAAATAAGTAAGATTTAGGACAGCATGCAAAAAGAAAAAAACATTTCTGAAATACCACAGGTCCACTGAGGCAAAACAAAACAGAACATGCAACAGTAATCATCAAACTCTAAATAGCCAAGCAAAAATAAAGTGAGATACAAAAGATGAGTAGGTAAGGCAGGCTCAAATGAAAACACATCTTGAAGGTCAGGTAGATGAATTAAGATTCTGTATTTCATTTACCTCCACAGTAAAATCAATGTTAAATTACCAAAAAAAATTTTTATTTATTTGACAGAGAGAGACACAGTGAGAGAGGGAACACAAGCAGAGGGAGTGGGAGAGGGAGAAGCAGACTCCCGGCTGAACAGGGAGCCCGGCGCGGGGCCTGATCCCAGGACCCTGGGACCATGACCTGAGCCGAAGGCAGACGCTTAACGACTGAGCCACCCAGGCACCCCAGATCTTTTTTTTTTTAGGATTTTATTTATTTAATAGACAGAGAGATAAAGAGCACAAGTAGGGGGAGCAGCAGAGGCAGAGGGAGAAGCAGGCTCCACGCTGAGCAGGGAGCCCAACGCAGGGCTCGATCCCAGAACCCTGGGATCATGACCTGAGCTGAAGGCAGGCATTTAATTATCTGAGCCAAAGGCAGACGCTTAACTGACTGAGCCACTCAGGCACCCCAATAAATAAAAATTCTTAAAAAAAAAAAAAAAGATTTTATTTACTTATTTGACAGGCACCACACTATGCTTTAACAAAGGAATGTACTGATTTGTTATGCTCTCATGAGTGAGTGAACCAATTTCACTACATTATTAGAGTGTTATTAATTTTTTTTTTTTTTGCTAGGTAAATAAGTAAAAACAATAGGGAACTACCAATAGGTGTGAATAAAAGAATGTTCTTTTCACTGGATACATTTCCTGCAATGATACGTAAACTTGGTAGAATCTAGATCAGTAGATGGAGATTATAGGAGGTAGAATTAATTCATTTTAATACTCTCTGGGGTGAAAAAAAGCTACTTTATTATTAGGAAATACATTCATTCACAAAATTAATTTCCCCCAAAATAAGGGCACTTCCACCTTAGTCCCAAGATTAGGTTACATCTGTTACATATCATGATGGATTCCCTCTCAGAATAACCCAAAAGGCTAAGATAGTGCAGATGAATGGAATATAAGTGACTAATCAAGTTAGGAGAAAGAGCAATTTCATTGCCAAATCACAGAATGCCAGATTAAGTCATAGAACATGTTAATCGGCATTTGGACCTGCACAAGAAAATAACGTCTTTACCTCCACATGATAGCTCATCTTGAAGCAGAACCAAGTGCATGGGGCAAGAGCACCTTGTAGTACCATCTCCTTTTACAAGACAAATATGTGAACAGCCACCGTTATCCTGAGCGCAAGGGTGCTGTCCTGAAAAAGAAAAACAAGAAGAAGAAAGAAAAGGAAGGGAGGGAAGGAGGAATGGAAGAAAGGACAGCTCAGTCAAAATCAATTATTTATGAATTACCAAGAAAAACTAAATGTAAAATTACCTTGGACTTTAATCCCACTAACAATATAATTCCTCACTGTATCCCTACACAATTACAAGAAAATGAGGACAATTTAATAATGCAAAATATTTATATCTAACCACTGTCTTTAAATATTTATATATATAAAAAATTGATTACTGAAACTAAAAACATTGCTAAGGAGAATGCAGAGACCTGGAAATTATTCTACTTAAAATATAAAAAAGTCTTCCAAAGATTTTAACTCAGAAATTCTACCTTTCTAAAAGATGATTTTACTCAAAACTATAGTTTAATGAAATACGGAAAATTAGAGTTGTTACGTTAGAAGAAAAAAACTTAAGTTCACATGGATTGCAACCACTCAGTCAATCAAAATTATTTGCTTAGTCAATTGTAAAAGGTAACTTGCAATGTTACAAATGTTTAATTTCCTTAAATTTGGGATAAATTAAATAAATACGAACTTAGGCAACTTTTCAAAGTCTGTTTTACAAATTGGATTTAATGAAGTTGCTCTGAATTTTCTACTTAGCCTGTGTTATAAGCAACTTGACATCTGTCATCAAAATACCAGCATCTAATGTAGCCACCCATCTATTATCTGTGTTCTCAATAACACATCAGCCCTGCTTCAGTGTGTGTTGATGAGACTCAGGGCGGCAGCTATCTGTAACTGAGCAGACAGGTTATACTACATAGATGTCCCAAAACAGACATCAATCATATTACACTAGAATATACAACCTACCTACATATAGCACAACCTTTTAATTCCATGACACATTTTTTTTTAAGATTTTATTTATTTATTTGTGAGAGTGTGAAAGTAAGAGAGATCACAGAGGGAAAGGGAGAAGCAGACTTGCTGCTGAGTGGAGAGCCTGATACAGGGCTTGATCCAGAACCCTGAGATCACGACCTGAGCTGATGGCAGACGCTTAACCAACTGAGCCACCCAGGTGCCCCCATGACACTTCTGATAAACAAAAATCTCACTCTCGTTAATGTTATTAGAAATTTGAAAAAAAATGTTTTTCCAAATATAAAACCATATTTAAGTGTTTAATTATAAAAAAAGACATCCCCCTAATTCTGAAAACCTCCATTGAGATTTTCTGCAATAAAATATTCATTTGTCAACTGAATAGCTTAGAAATTAAGGCCTTATTTCTATTAAATGTTTAGCATGAGTCACATGCATTAACTTAGAATGACAACAATTCTAACTCTAATTCTCAAATGCCTCTAACTTCTAAGTTCATGAACAGTGACAACAAAATGAAGACCTGAACAAGCAATGGTGCTCTCATTCCACTATTCTCCCCTTTCATACTCCAGTTTGATTTGAAAGCCTCAGGTTGAGAAGTTCAGGCGTTCAATAGTTCTCTCTTTAATATTTCATTTAACATTAGCATTCCTGGTACAATCACACAAAACCCATAGTCGTGACTGCTATCAGAAGTCTTTTGATATTAACAAGATATTAAGGCAAGATGATAAGCCATATTTAAAAGCTTTCAGTAAATTAAAAAAAAATTTATGGGTACTTTTCTAAGCTGAGAATTGAGAAATTTATCTAGGAGGAAGAAAACCAAGCATTTGTTAATCAGTCTTCTCTAAGTTCATTTCAAAAACTTCTGAACACACTAATTTTTAATTTGTTTTTGCTTCATAAGGTTATTCCAAGATAACTATATTCATCATTATATAAATATAATTATTGCTTTTGTTCAAACTATGGGGGCACACAGGGAACAAAAGAAATATATATACTTTATACCAGTATTCTTAAAGGGGCTGAAGGTGAGAAAGAAGGCATGATAAGGAGTCCTTGTTGTATCTGAGGAAATTTTTGAAAATGAGCCAGACCACTTCTTTCCCCCACTTTTGTTTTATGGGGAAAAGGTGTTTAATTTGAAAAAGCTCCCAGGTGAGTTTGATGTAGGCTTTAAAAACACAGAGTTTAAAAAATGGCAAAATTAAAAGTGTATGAAAATCTTTAAAGAAAAAGGTAAGAAGGAATGTCTGGGTGGCTCAGTTGGTTAAGCATCTGCCTTCGGCTCAGGTCATGATCCCAGGGCCCTGGGATCGAGCCCCGCATTAGGCTCCCTGCTCGGCGGGAAGCCTGCTTCTCCCTCTCCCACTCCCCCTGCTTGTGTTCCCTCTCTCGCTGTGTCTCTCTCTGTCAAATAAATAAAATCTTAAAAAAAAAAAAAGGTAAAATTTTAAGAAGGTAAGAAGACACAGAACATCTTAATTCTATCTTAATTTCTTATAACAAAAATGAGTCCTGCAATTAACAGTATGCCATCAGCACTTACTATATTCCTGGAGGTTCAGCTCTTTCACTGCATGAATGTCACTAAGCTGGGCAATTCGAGCCTGGACTTTGGTTCTACCCTCTCGGCCTGTCATGTCAATTTTTTCAATCATTTGCTGTTGCTTATCAATCCAGTATAGCCAGTTTTCAAACACAGTCAGTCCCACAGGCTGCAAGATATTGGAGTCTTCTAATACTATCCGGTTGGCACCTTGGAAAGAAGAACATGCAACAGAAATGATTCATGTGGGTCAAATCACACATTCAGCAACTACTGAGCGTGTACCAGTTAGATTCCAAAAGTACTGAAACGGAAAATATACGCAGATTAAGTCATAGAACATGTTAATCGGCATTTGGACCTGCACAAGAAAATAACGTCTTTACCTCCACATGATAGCTCATCTTGAAGCAGAACCAAGTGCA